AAAATACAAAAAGCAAAAAAAAATTAAAAAAATAAAATACAAAATAGCTTACTCTGCAGGTAAAGTTTTTGAATAGAAATTAGATAGAGCCCTACCACACAGCCCTATATCCCAGAATATCAAGGCAAAAAATCCCACAATATCTGCTTTGAATTGGGCTATCTGAGTCCACATTCAGATAATGTGGGATTTTCTGCCTTGATATTCTGGGATATAGGGCTGTGTGGAAGCGCCCTGTCACCTATCAAACTGCTTTCATAGTCAATTCCTAGCTGAGGGGTTGAGCTGTATGGGCTTTGCAGTCCTTTCCAGCTCTACAATTCATCTGCTTAGAGTGAATAAAGCAACCCTTCCTCAGATATTAGATGTCTGGGTTGGTGCTCAGCAACCATTTCTAATTAATTATTATCTATTTGAACTGGACTCCATCATTTTAATTGAATGGCTTGTTTTTGCTTTACTCATATGTTACTGTGATTTTGATATGATTAGATGGCGATATTGATGGAGCTACTATTTATACGATGTTTTGTAATGTTTTGTTCTTGTCAAGAGCCACTTTGAGCTCAACCTCTTGTTAGAAAAGTGCCATAGAAATATTCAATCAAAGCAAATAAAAGCTTCTTCCATTATAGATAATTCCAGGCATTGGAGTCTGCAGAAGCCACAGGAAAATGTGCAGTGGATCAGTCTCCAACAGAACTATTTTGTCTGTCAGATAGAATAAACTTCCTCATGGGCAGGCTTGCATTCATCTTATTACTTTAAAGCTCTGTATAACATATCTGGGTCATAGTCATAGACACATTTGCCACCTGTGGTTTGGGATTCCCCTTTCTTCCATTCCTGTAGATCTGACAGACCATATCTTTGCTTGCTGTATAAACCTCTTCTGTAAGCAAGGATCATCATAAGTTGGAAATAATTTGAACACATGACAACAAAGGTGAAGGCAATAGGAAAAAGGAAGACTATATTGTAGATACCTTGAGGAATTAGTGAGGTCATGATCTTGGGTTTGTAAAGCCTGAGCAAGGCTGCTGATGATCAGGGCTCCCAGTGACGCAGTGGGTTAAACCCTTGTGCCGGCAGGCAAGACCGACAGGTTGCAGATTCGAATCCGGGGAGAGCGTGGGTGAGCTCCCTCTGTCAGCTCCAGCTCCCCATGCGGGGACATGAGAGAAGCCTCCCACCAGTATAGTAAAACATCAAAAACATCCAGGTGTCCCCTAGGCAACGTCCTTGCAGACGGCCAATTCTCTCACACCAGAAACAACTTGCAGTTTCTCAAGTCGCTCCTGACATGAAAAAAAAATCAGGGCTCATGGAGGTATGCTATTCATAGGGTCGGCGGCATAAACTAAAGCTGAGTCGATGACAAACAATGCACGCAACAACAAACACTCATTTTTATGTTTTCAAGTGACTGCTGGTGTCTCATTCTAGTCATGCATGGCAAACAGTGACATTTATGAAGGACTTTATTCTGCCCTTCTTCACTTGCCACCAGAGAAAAAGAAAGTGGGTTGAGATTGAGAGAGAAAGAATTTATTCACAAACACCTAATAAGCACACTGTGCATAGAACAGGTTTTGGAAAAATGTTGTGCATTCCAGATGATTTGGACTAAAACTCCTACAAACTTAACAGCGTGGGGACCTTTTGGAACCTCCTATACTTGTGTGGTTCCTTAAACAGAGAGGGAGGGAGACTTCCTGCTGTCTCCAGCAGATGGCACACAGTTCTCATTAAAAGAGAAGCAGTAGTTGCATATAGACAGGTGGTGGGCCAAGCTGCCTTCCCGCTAAAAGGCTAAAAGAGAACTCAGACACTGCTCTAAGACATTTATCCTACTTACAAAGATATTTTAGTATGTTTATAAAGCCACCTGAGTGAACAGTTTGCAGTGACGTTATATAGAAGATTACTTTGCAAGTGCAGCCAGATGATACAGGTTGAGCATTCCTGGTACCAGAAGTATTCCATTTGGGGGGGAGGGTCAGATTTGGGGATACTTGCACATACATTATGTGATGCCTTAGAGATGCCAAGTCTAAACACAAAATTCATTGATCTTTCATATACACCAGGCATGTCCAAAGTCCGGCCCAGGGACCAGTTGTGACCCCTGTTCAAATGTTCACTTGCCTTCTCTCTCCAGGCCTTCCACCCTCCCTGCCTTGGTTTTTTTCTTCCTTCCTTCCTTCCTTCCTTCCTTCCTTCCTTCCTTCCTTCCTTCCTTCCTTCCTTCCTTCCTTCCTTCCTCCCTCCCTCCCTCCCTCCCTCCTCCTTCCTTTCCTTGACTTCCTCCCTCCCTCCCTTTCTTGACTTCCTTCCTCTCTTCCTTCCTTCCTGGGGATCAAGGCCCTAGAATAGGTGGGCTCCTCAGGGGGAGAGAATATAATAATACTTTATTTATACCCCGCCCTATCTCCACAAGGGGACTCAGGGTGGATCACAGTACGCATACACAAAAAAAATTCAATGCTGTTTGGATAGACAGTACAGAGACAGACAAAACATAAAGGAGGTATGTTGTGTTGACATCCAGCTTTTTTTTTTTGGCAACTTGGAGGTTGTGCTTGAATCCAGCCACAGGGGGGATGCTGTCGCTCCATCCTCTATGATGAAAAGCCATCAGGATTTTCCTCTTCTTTTTGGTCACCGAGCATTTTCTGATCTTTTTCTTTATGGTGTCATAAAATACTTCCCCTGCTTATTTAGTGGTACCTAATTTCTCTACTTACAGCTGAAGCTGTTTTCAAACTGCTTAGGTCAACAGTAAACTGGGATAGCAGTCGGGAGCTTGCGTCGACCCAGGGCTTCGAACTTGCAGCCTTGCAGTTGGTCGATCTTATCATTGCTAGTGATTTACCAGCTGTGCTAAAGCCCAAAAGAGAAATGGAGACTCTTGTGTCCCTTCACCTCAATTAAGTGCTGTCTTCTCATGTGGCTCCAGCCTCAGGCATCCTATCCCAGTGGAGCCTTGTCTCTTTCTCTCTCTTCCCCCACAACTTTTTTCTTTATTTCTTTGCAAGGGAAGGCTCCCCAATTGCCCTGCTTGCCCCAGATGCTCACTGCTGCCACTGCATGGCCAAGAAGAGTGGGCCCTTTTCGCCCTGCCTTTATCCCCGCATTGCCTCCCTGTGTTTTCCAAAAAGGCTGTCATTCACTGCGTCTCTTCAACAATAAACTCCCCCTGCCACAATCAAAGCCCTCCCAACAGACAGCCATGCTGCCTCTGCTGAAAAACCTCCAGAGAAGGAGACTCCACAAGACTCTGAGGCAGCACATGCCACAGTCTGAAACAACTTAAAGCCATACAACAACAATCATGATTAACTTGACTTTATCATCCAAAAGCATACCCATACTTCCCATTCAAAGACTGGTACGTTTGCGTTGGTTAAAATTGTTCTTCGTTTTATGTATTGTATTGTTCTTTCATGGTTTTTATTGCACTACAGATAAGACATATGTAGTGTGTATAGGAATTCGTACATTTTTTTTTCAAGCTATAGTCCGGCTGAGGGACCGTGAACTGACCCTCGACTCAAAAACTTTGAATACCCCTGATATACACTTTATAAGCATAGCCTGAAGGTAAATGTAGACATAATATTTTAAATACTTTTGATCATAACACACAGTTTGTATGCACTGAGCCACTAGAATGCAAAAAAGTAATGATCTCAGCTACTTTTGTGAGCTATTTTGGAGTATTTTGAACTTTGTAACAACCGATATTCTGACCTGTAGAAATGGTATAATGGTTAGTTGTATGAGTTAAAAATTAGGATAGATTTGGGATATTTGGGGTGAAGTGTGCACATGTTGCTTTTACTCAAAAGCTGTTAAGACTATATATCACTTCTTTGTAATTCTGGGACTTGTAGTTTGGCAAGTGCTTGGACTCTTCTGCTAGAGCAGTGGTTCTCAATCTGTGGGTCCCCAGGTGGTTTGGCCTACAACTCCCAGAAATCGCAGCCAGCTGTTAGGATTTCTGGGAACCACAGGTTGAAAACTGTTGTGCTAGAGAGTTCCATTAAGAGCATGGGAGATAACTACCTCACCAAATGATAAATCCCAGGAATTTGTAAAATGGAGCTATAGCAACTGAAAAGCTATCACAGAAGTAGAAGTTTGTATTGCTGGTGTTCTCTACGTCAACATTCTTGAGTGAGACATACTCTTTATCTTACAACCAGAGGTACTTCAGAAGGAACTGTAGGGGAGAAAAAACACATATTCTAAATATCATTTATTATTTAAGAGAAGTTAAGCATCACAAAAACAAATGGCAAAGAAGAATGTATATAGTAAATATAAACACTTTACAAAAATACACTTTCAGGAGGAAATAAGCAGGTATACAAAAATACAATAATCAAATACATTATTTACAAACAAAGGCAACAGCCATAGTAAAGCAATGTTTCTTTAAAAATAAATATTTTTATTATTACAGTACAGACTAGGTTAGACCATGTACAATATGAAGATTGACTAATCTGTAACTGAAGATTTTTAAAAATCCTAAAATGCACAGCTTTTGTGGATACTCAAAATACTACACTGGAGAGGAGCTCTGCCCCATCACAAAGCATTTCTTTTCAAGAAATATGCTTTCTTCTGACACAAGACATGTACAGGCAGTCCCCAAGTTACAAACATCCAACTTACAAATGATTCATAGTTAAGAACAGGGCTGAATCAACGGAATGTAAGAGAAATCTACCCCTAGGAAGGGAAATTCACTTTTGAAAGAGTTATCATAGGGAAAAGGTGTCTCAGGGCGCTTCTAGACAGCACTAAATCATGGGTTTTGAACAGGAGAGGGAAAATCCCGGGACTTCAGAAGAGGTCCACATAAGAGATCCTGGGATTTCTCCCTCCATTGTCCAAACTTTATGCTTTTTTGTGAGATTTAAAGGCTCCCAAGTCCGCCGCCACAGGACTTCCACCAGAAATTTTGTTGTTTGTTTTTTTTAAAAAAAAAAAAACCTCAAGGTGCAGATATGCGGATAATCACTGCAGCAAATCACTGCAAAAGTTCTGCTCTTTGTCTTGGCCAGAGAAACTGTACCCTCCATACGTTTCATGAAGTATCTGCCACACAAATGGAGTTTAAGGGGTAGGACCATTTCTGCCTAAGTCAGTACTGCACAATCAAACAGGAACACAAACCTTCAAGCCAGGAACAGAAAGAACTTTGTCATTATTGGCACTTTTTAGAGCCTGGATGTCTGGCCATCTGTCCAGACAGATTTGGTTGTATACTTGTGGCATCAGACAACAGGGCGCTGTTCCTGGGTTATATATGGCTGTTCCTGATTGCTCTTCTTGTGAGAAGATGTACAAGATTGACAAGGGTGTCACAACTTTGTCCTGGCCAGAGAAAATGTGCCCTCCACACGTTTCATGAAGTGTTTGGCAAACAAAGTTTTTGCCTTCTACTCAAGTGCCACCTTCTTTTTAGGAACCGACCAATCAGGAACGAACATGTAAAACCCGAAAACAAACCAAAATTTAAAATTCTTGTGATTTCCGATTGCAGGGACATACAGACATGCAAAGATCCGCATATTTGGCTCAAAATTGCAATATTCCTGCACCTGGAAATCTCAATTTTTTTGCCTTTTGCAGCGATTGCTTCCACGTTTACAGGGAACGATGTCTGGCCATCCTCCGGTTTGCTGTGGAAGCTCCTTGGATAAAGGAACTGTCTGGACAGGCCCTCAGCTGAAGCTTTATCACCAATCAGTTTCCAGAATAAGCCTGTTCTGACTTACAAACAAATTCAACTGAAGAACCTATCTTGTTTGTAACATGGGGACTGACTGTACATCTAAATAACACAGCAGGTTCTTTGGATTTGTTTATTGCACTTTCATCATATTCCTTACAAATATCTTGTAAGTTTTAATACTTTTCCCTGCCAACAGAACCCTAAATGTTTAGTGCCTGTTGGGATGGAATGTGTTATCTTCCTTTCAAAATGCATCATACAAATAAAGATATCATGGCACAAGGCTTTTTAAAAATATAACACAAACTATTTTAGAAACAAATCTGCAGCTTGATATGTATCCTTTTCTACGAGGCAGTTTACTATTCACACGAGAAATTGCATAATAATCCAAAAGATAGGTGTAAGCGTTGAATAAAACATGATTTCAGATTCTACCAATAATGACTGAAAACCAAGGAAGAGAAGCAGCATTTGTCACACAAAAGGCACCCCTTACTTTTGGCATTTTCACTAGTTGCCACAACAAAAGGATGGAAAGATGACAAACAGAAGGGTGACTGTCCAGTTCAGAAAATGGAGGAGAAAATGTGTAGTTCAGACATGCAGACTTTATCATTTGTTGGCTGTGTACAGAGCTTGGACATGTTTCTCTATTGACACAATTCCCACAATCCACAATCCACAATCCACCATGGGAATTGTAGCCCCCCAAAGTAATATTTCTGCACTCTGGATTGCAAGCATTGAACTTGTATGCATAAATTCACCTTTTGCAGATAAATACTGAAGATTAAACTGTTTTTTATCATCGGTCTACACATTAGAAGTCAGTGGGAGTTATCAGCCATTATATGTGTAAGTATGAACCAACTCTCAGATGGGGACAATGACCCTCCAGTCAACATAAATGCCACAACCTGCTGTATTTTCACCATGCATACAAAGTAACACGAACTCTCATGCTGGTATAGGACAATGGGTTGGCAACACAATGCCAAGATCTAGTCCAAGCTAGAAGGACTCAGGACTTAACAGACATTAAAGCAAATGAATTGACATTTCTGCAATACTATCTGTAGGTTGTATGACTCTGTTCAGGCCCATACTAATCCAAGCAAAGGATGAAAGCCCTCTTCTTCCACAGATAAGAGCCTGGGCTGAAATTGGGAAATGGGGCTGCACTTTGTTGTTGTGTGCCTTCAAAGTCATTTCTGATTTATCATAACCCTGAGGTGAACGTATCACAGAGTTTTCTTGGCACAATTTCTTCAGGTGAGATTTGCCATTGCCTTCTCCTAAAGTTGAAAGAGTATGCCCAAGTGAGGATTTGGGCATTTGCCTCCCACAGACTTAGGACACACGGGGCATTTTTCCCATCCTAAGACACTGCCAGGATGCTGCCGAGACATAGCCCAGACAGAGCCAGGGCCACTTCCAGTGGGGCTCTGTCCCAGTTCCATCTTGGCAGCATGGTTAAAAGCAGCCTTGAGAACACAGGTGACTACCTATGTTCTTATTCTCAGCATGGGATGAAGCCGGGGCAGCCAGAAAACATTGTGTGAAAATAAAGAGATAAAGTGATGCGCTACCCCACGGTTTCCCACACTGCCGCATGGACTTCCCGCTGTCCCCAGCTTATGGACCCCCATCTGATGAGGTCTTTAGCCCAACACTGAAGTTCTCACACTACACTGGTTCTCAAGGAAAATAGAAAAAAGAAGAAATAACAGCTAGCCACACCATTAACGCCTGTTTTGGCCCTTAGGAACCATCTACACTGCCATATAAGTGTAGACTCAAATAATAGAGTTTAACTTCATTGAAGTGACTTTCAAAGTGCATTATATGACAGTGTAGATGGGCCTCTGATGAATCAGTGGGACCATCGCAACCTACAGGTTCACACTGTTATTGTTGTCTGTCACAAAAAGAAGCAAACCTCTATGAAAATCATACTCTCAGGTGTTGAGTGTAAAGCAGAGTTGGGAAATAGAGGACCTCAAGTTATTTTTGAACTGTGACTCCCATCAACCCTATCTAATATGGTTAGTAAGGGTAGATGAAGGATGTTGCCGTTCAAAAACATCTGCATGGTCATACATTCTCTATCTCTTTTTTAGTGCATAGACCTGTACAGAGTCTTCTTTTCTTAAATATTTTTTTCTGACAGAAGACAACAATAATTTTTATGCAGTTTTTGGAATCCTAAACTAAAAGCAAACAGTACCAATGATAATCACCCTCATTTTCCATTCCGTTCTTTTTTTCTCAATAGCTCCCATCACCGCCCTTGTCCTTAAGCAGACATGAGTCCAAAGAGAATGGTGCAAGGTATGGTATGGAGAGGTTTGGGAGCCAAAAAGCACACCTAAACACAGCCACATTTACAGAGATACATAATATTTGGCCCCAAGCTAATGTTCCACTATTCATCAGTGTGGGAGAAAGATTATCAAAGAACCTTTCAATGTAGGAAAATCACTAAATAACATATGGAAAGTTATTTATTAATGTTCAGAAATGGTCCGGTCTGTGTTTCTAGGAAGGGAGGCAGAGAGAGAAGACTTTGACGAGTTCCTCTTTCACTTTGTTCATTGTAACAAGTTACTTAGCACCTCCAATTTGCACCCATTTGACAAAAATCAAAATAACGGATAAAGATGCTATACTTACAATAAGCCATATTATTCAGACAGAAGACATGTATCAGATATTCGTATGTGTGATTGATGCCAATTCTTGACCAAACTTTGGCTTTATATAGATTTGGTTCAAGGCACATTCTTGCATTTCAGCAACACCACTGGTGACTCTCTCCTCCTTGTAATCTAAATTATAACTTACATACTTACATTCAGAGTGTTTATAGAGGATTTTGGAAGTGTTATTCAAAAATTCACTTTTCTAAGGCCGACGTATAGCTCACTGTACAAGCACTACCTTCTCGTTAAACTATATATTATCTCTCTAGACAAGAGATTAGACATCTAAAATTCTGGTAGGCAGTTGGAGGAAATACATTTCTGTCTCTCTCTCCCAGACACATTACAAACCACCACAATGCCTTAATCATGTTGTATGGATACAGAATTATGAGTGTCCTTTATCCAGAGTCATATAAGGACAATGTGGAAGGAGCCTTAGACAGAAGTTTTCAGGTCAACTTCTGCCTGATCCTTTTATCAAAGATGCAGGGAATATGTGGTTGATTTTATACACATTTTCTTTGGTCATAAAATGTTACTTATAGCTATTTGGGTGCATTTACATTGCAGAATTGATGCTGTTTGACCTCACCAAACTGCCATGGCTCAGTGCTGTGAAATCATGGTGAAGCACCAGCTTCCTTTGGTTGAGAAGGCTAAAGACCTTGTAAAACTGCAGCTTGTTAAAAGTGGTGTCAAACTGCAGTTAAAAGTCGTGTCAAACTGTATTAATTCTACAGTGTAGAGGCACCCCTAGTTCAGTATAGATTCTGATTTCCATCAGCAGGAGTGCCTGTCTTGCCTGGCAACAACCTATGAAGTGAGGGGGAATGTTAATGCATTTGGAGATGGGGGTACATCACTCCTCCTAGCAGACCAGAAGGAATATGGAAAGCTAAACATGTCCCTCTGGCTGTGCTCTGATTTTCAAAATCCTATGTCTTATACGGTAAACGACCACTAATCTGTACATAAGTTGTCATGAGATTGGAGCCGGGATTAACATCCCAGATTACTACAACCAAAACACCATTAACACCACTAGCGTGGCCACTGGACAACTTCTGGAAATTGTAGTCCAAAAGGTCAATAATAAAGTAAGTTCTCTTAATAACATGGGAGACCTCATGGGGCAGGTCTCAGTTATTCATCTAAGCTGAATATGATGTCCAGAAGGGACAAAAAGGTCAGGCAAATGCTATCAGAACCAATACATTCAGCATGGAAGCACCACCTAAAACAATTAATGCTCCTGTTCCCTCATCGCTTTTCTTGTCACAGCATCCCCTCCAACTGCCTCAATTTGGAAGGACAGTCCTGATTATTCTGTCCTACTTTTTCAACTGCTTTTAAAATGTCCCATTTTTTCTCCTTTCCCTGCTCTCCCTTTTTGTTCTCAGCTTACCTCAGTTACTGCAAACTAAGTTCAAAGTGCAAAAGTCAATTGCACTCAGTCAACAGGAGAAAGAGGAGAGGAAGAGCAGAATCAGGCCCTTCTCAATAGGCTCAGGCAAAATAAGACTGTTATGTCTCACCTAAATCATGTGTCATTAATATATTTTGCCATCTTAATATCTTTAGCCATCTGGTGTTACTTGGGCATATATCTCCCGGTTTTCATTTGTGAAATCCTGGAGGATATGCTATGAGCAGAAACCACAATAGGTCTTTTCAGTAGTGACACAGCCTACCCATAGATACTTGGTCCTTAGATGAGTCCTAGGGTTTTGTGATGCTGATAGAAGAAAAAACCAGAAAACCCAAGGTCAATGGTCCCTTACTGGATCATGTGTCATGTTCCTTTTATAAAGTTACTTCTAATTTACCAGTCAAGCGACTCACCCACAATCCTCCCTCAAAAGACAAAATAATAATAATGTAGTGGAATCACTAAAGAAGCTACTTTTCTGTATCTTCTGTTCTGGGATTTGGGCTCTTAAATACTGTACTTAGCATCATGTGAGGTAGAGCAAAATCAAAGAAGAGGCAATAGGGTTTCCTTTCTTCTACTTTTCTGGAAAGTGTGCAAACTTAAGCCTTGGACTCTTCTCGCACACAGAGCTGAGAAATGGTCTTCTTAATGCGAAGCGCTGTCAGACGAGCTGCCCCATTGGTGTACCAGCACTCACGCATGATGCGGCCCATTACCCTAAGAGCCTAAAGGAAAAACAAAGACAATGCAAAGAAAGCATAATCACAATTGTTATAGTGTTTCGGGACGATAAAAAAATTGTTAGTGGCCAAGAGAATGTTTCTAAGTGCCCCAAAATCAAATTATTATAGTTTAACTTTTCTTTATGCTTTAATTATTAAACTTTGAATTGAATGCTGATTTTTTTGCCATTTGTGGAAGAGTTTTCTCCCTTAAAATCCCTCTATCTGCTCTTGTGGGTTTGGAAGCTCCTCTGGAATATCATGTCCTATTCCTTCCACAAGGAAGGAAAAAATGCTGAAAACTAGAGAACCCCCTCTGGCAAAAGTTCTCCTGGAAGCATAGTCTTGGTGCATACTTCGGTAGTTCCAGTTAGAGGAGATACATTTCGTCAACACAACTTAGATATGAGTTGATTTATCAAAAACCCATTAGATTAACAAATTGATGAGATAATGCATTTAGGGCAGAACTTTCCAAGCATTTCATGTTGGTAACTTTAGGCCCTTCCACACAGCCCTATATCCCAGAATATCAAGGAAGAAAATCTCATTTTATCTCAGTGTGGACTCAGATAACCCATTCAAAGCAAATATTGTGGGATTTTCTGCCTTGATATTCTGAGATATAGGGCTGTGTGGAAGGGGACTCACTTTTTAGGCATGTATCATTTCACAGTAATTCAGTTTTACTTGCAAACCAACCCCTTATAAGTCAACCCCTTATAAGTCAAACCAACCCCTTATAAGAATTAGGGACAGATACACAGTGTCAGATTTAGGACAAATGAGACCATGTGCTAGTTAAGTTATGAGGCCCCTTCCTTGGGCCCTGACGGAGGGAGGCTCAGTATGCCTACACTGCCTGCTTTGTGGCACACTCCCATAGACTATCAGCCCTGTCTGAATCACTCCGAAACAGAACCCCTTCAAATGTAGAATTGCACCACATAAGCAAATTCAATTGTTTGGCAGGAAGTTGCCCCCCCCCCCCGATCCAATGGGGCCCTTTGATTAAGCACACTGAAGCACAATGGTAAATCTGGCACTGCACATACATAAATTGTAGTAATGTATGGGGACATATCTCATAGAAACCTCTCTCTCTCTCTCTCTCTCTCTCTCTCTCTCTATATATATATATATATATATATATATATAGTGATTTATTGCTTGTTTGCTTGTTTCACATAGACTCAGGTTTTGTGTTATGTTCACGCAACACTGCAGCCAAAACACTAATGTGGTGTGACCCAAAGTTTGGAAAGCTCTACTTTAGGGTTTTCAAGGTAGCTCAAATTAAATAAATGAGGTACATAAATATTGCACAAAACAAAATGATTAATAAAGAAATTAGATTAAGCCATACTTAAAACATTTGAAAGCACCACGCTAAGAAAAGTACAGCTCCAGCTGAAAACAAGCCCAGCAATTTGGAAAAGATAAAAGAGCTAATTTTGCCCCACACTGATCCTTTCACTTTGGTAGGAATGAATGTGTAACCACTTAAGAAAATGCTCTTTGCTGATATGCTTCTACACTTGGCTTTGATTTTAAATGTACACTTTTCAGATTATATGCTGCAAAAGCTGCAATTAAAAGATGAAGAAGGGTGGAATAACGTACCTCACAGCTTTGCCATTGATTGGGGATGTTAGGTCTCAGCTTTTGTTCACAGACAACCTTTCTCATATCTTCTATTGAAGGATCCGAAGGCACAACATCATAATAAGGTAATTGGTATTCTTCAACAATCCCTATGAGAAAAATACAGTACAAGAATCATTTTATCAGGCCCATTTCAAACCTTATGGGAAACAAGTTGGCAAAAACATACAGATGGAGGGAGCAAAGAACCCTGATCAATCACCAGCTTGCTGGAACATCAGTCTAAAGGTCTTTTTTTAGTATGTTCATTCTTCCAATACCCTGACAATGATCCTGCATTGCGATGACAATGAATCTCCATTGTCGTTGCTATTTCTGTCAAGGCCTCCTTTCTTTTTAGCCTAGCAATGCCCAAACCAAAGGGTTTCCAAAGCACTGCAGTTTAAGGTGTTGAAAAATGGCATTTCTAGCATTCTTTGGTTGTGGGTCAAGTTGAAATGGGCAGCTGGAGAGACTCCTTGTGCTCCATTTGCAGTTACTTGTATCAATGCACCCCATGACTGGGAGAGCATGGCTGCAGTCATGAAACTTCCCAGAGTCCTGACTTGTAGTGTCTCAGTAACATTTCAGGTAAGGTCCTACCTACCTAGCTTAAGAGGCACATTTGTGGAGCCATGTTTATTATGACCATAAATATTAGTGACCATATCCATGAATCCAAAAAGTTATAAGATCCTAAATCTAGCTCAGTCTCATAAAGATTCAACAGGGTAGCAAACACTGTTTTTAAGTAAATTAATTCTACATCCAAAGTTTGTGGAGCCTTAATGCCCTTAATAAGAGAGAGAGAATATACCTCCAACTGAGCATCTTCGGGATATCTCCCAGTACACCAGCCCAAGAGAATAGATATCTGCTCGCTTGAAGGATTCAAAGATATTCATATTCATTGTGTCATCAAGTATTTCTGGTGCCATGTACCTTCCAAATACAGGAAAAGTGTGAATTTAGAGATTTACCAGAGAAGCAATCACCACGAACAAAGATTAAAATGAAGGAATGATATTTTTAGAAAAAGACTATAAACATCGTATGTATTCACTTGTATTGCTTTATGAACTGTTGAGAGAAAGGAGTTAAGTTCATTATTCAAATATCTTGTCAATAATGCTGGGTTTCACTTCTCTGCATATAATTATGTGTACAGATTGTACACACATAAGTCAAGGGAGAAAGGCTGAGGGGATGGTCAGAAGAGACTACCCTTTAACAAGAAGAGAAAGGTTGTTTCCACACCATATGTGTTCCCTAATTACTATTCACACTATATAGATGCCATAGTTTCAGACTAGTCTAACTACTATGGCTCCATCCTATGGGATCCTGGGATCTAAGGTTTACAGACACATTTCTGCATGCTTTGATTATATTGTATGTATTTGGGCACCACCGAGTACCAATCTAATGGGGAAATGCAGAGTATGAAAATTAACAGTGATTGTGAGGATAAAATGAGTACAAGGGGTTATCACACTCAAGACTATAGAATAAGGGAGAAAGAATTAAAACTCTCTCCATTCTTCATGTCCATGAAAGCCATGGCCCTGAAGCTGTAGTTTGTCTCCTTTCAGAAACATTAAAGGAAGGGATGCTTGTGAAACACTGAACTTCATGTATAGCCAAACATGATACTTCCATCATCTACTGACTAGTTTAAGACAAAAATGAAATAAAGGCTAACATAAAACAGCAAGGCACACGCCTAGGACTTCATCACATAGGGTTGTTGTTGTTGTTTTTTGCCCCTGATCATGCCAGGGGTCCTCTTCGGCCACAGCTCCTGATGGATCCCATCATTCAATGCAGTCCATGGTCCCTCCCCATCAGTTGGTGAAGCAGCAGGAAGTATTGCAAAGAGGCTTCCTTGCCACCATGGTAAGCCTCCCACAAGCTAGCACTCAGTGTTTTTCACAATTTTGATGCTTTTCCCTGTCTGATGGGGAAAGCACAAATGTGACAACACATCATGCCACAATTCTGCCATGAGATGGAAGAAGGAGGGAGGGACCGTGAGTCACTGTGAGATTCCAGGGCCGCCTTCTGTTTCGCCGGTTATTGCCAGCAAAACAGAACAAAAGAGACAGGTCAGTCTGATGAGCTCCTTAATGTAGTCTCATCTGATACTGAGGCACTCCAACATACTACACAGCAATACATTTTGAATAATACAAAAGAAACATCCAAAACATCTGGATTGTCATATATTTCCAATTTAAAGATATAGACATTTGTGTGGAATCTTGTGGTACCTTGGGAACAAACTCAGATAAAACATTGGTAGTATAACCTTTTGTAGACTTACGTCTACTTCATCAGACAGATGGGGTGAAATTAAGATGACAAGTTCTGTTTTTATGATGGGGGGAAAAAAGCAGGAGGACAGATGTTGTCTAAAGACAAAGTAAGTAGATAACCATATGAATGGTAGAGGTATTTATTGGAATGTAGTTGATGCTGACTGGAAAACCAGAAAGGAGATGTGATACACAAGCCAAGAGAGCCCTCATGAGCTTTTGTTTTCAAGGGATATTTTCCTGCTTATGTAGGGGCTCAGATTTTTCTACAAAATGAAGGCACTAAACCAAATCGGAGTAAGGGGAATGGTACTATGGACATCATCACATTGAAGTCCTGAAGTCAGGGAACAGCTGGGGCATTTGTTGGGCAGCGGGACTAATCCAGCAGTCAGTGTAGGAACCCAATACTGTGCATCACCCACATTGCCCCTTCCCCATCCCATGGGGCAAGTGTCACCGTCCAGCTTCCCCCTGCGCTTTCTCTGTTGGAAGTAGCCCTGTGTCATGTGATAGGTTCCATCATGTTGAAAGCATCCTATGTTGGAGCCCAGACCTCATGTGATGAGGTAGCAAGAAACATTTTTACTTGTCATAGGACCATGAACTCTGGTTGGGGAGTGGGGGTTCACTGACTATAACCTGAGATTTCAGATCAACCCTGATAAAAACACACAATTTTGAAAGGGAAAATATTGTTCTGCAACCAGTGATAAATAGACTGCCTTACCTCTTGGTTCCCACTCTAGGGTTCTGAGGTATGTCGATTGTGTTTAACACAGAATCATGCTTCACAGCCAGACCTAGGTCGGCAATGGCACAAGTTTCATTCCTTTTGACTAAAATATTTTTAGATTTCAAATCTCTATGTGAAATAGCTGGTTTACCTGCAAAGCATAAAATGCATTAAGATTAAAATACATTCTACTGCATTAACACACACACACACAATACCCATTACCCATGCCCCCAATTGCCCCCCTCCCTCCTGGAACAGCAATTCCAAATGATGTCATTGTATCAATTTAACCATGTGGAAAGCCTGGATCAAAATGCTATGTTTATCATCTCTGTCTATTTTGTCAGCTAGAACAGACCATTTCCTATACCAGTCTTGATTTGTATGACTATTAATATACTTATTTTTCCTTTGATTAATGAAATCATTGATTATATATTCCGAGAGATAACTCCTCCAAGTTTCCACATCCCATTTTGTATTGTCTCTCCATCCTTGGTCTAGCCTGTATTGCGGCTATCATATATTTTAGGATTTCTGTTCAATTTTTGTTATCTTCCTTTGCCTGTATAGTAAGAGGCATGAATCAGACTGTATCCCACTTTAACTTTTCCCTTATTATTTCATCCATTATATTTCTTATTTCACTGTAATAGTTTTTGATTTTTTTGCAATCCCACCACATGTGGGAGAATGAACCTATTGCCCCACAATTATGTTGGAAATATTTCCCATGATATGAGCTAATTGAAGGGGGGTACTATACCATTTCGTTATTATTTTCCATTGGGTTTCTTTGATCCACATACATTTAATTCTCAGAATGCTGTCAATCCAAGACCTGATTAATTTCTCACTAATGTTTTTTTTCTTGTTTCCAACTGACTATAAGGGTGGTTTTTGTGTTGTAAGATAAGTTGATTAATTCCTTGACCAATAACCCAATAATTCCTTTCCCTTTTTCTATTTTCCTTTTAATTATTTAATCATTCTGTCGAGTGGGGTTTCTGCTATCTCTCCTCTTTTCATGGTCTGAGCTCTACTGGACAGGCCTAACCATGCTATCCAGTTCCCTTGTCCACCCTTGTCTTTTATCTTGTCCCAGTTTGTTATTTCTTCAGTCGGTTCCATGAGATCCCCTATCCTTTTAATACCATTTTTTTCAGGGATCTCATTAGGTTCCAGAATGCCTTGTCCTTATTTTCCAAAGTTTCTAATGGGAAAGGGTCGATTGTATTTATTTGTAATTTATTTCACCATTTTTTCCAAATTAACAGCATTGATAAGCAGGGGCCAGCCTTTAAGTTCTTTAAGACCTTTCTCTATTCCTGATCCCTTTTCCAACAATTTGCTTGCAAAATAGTTAACCACAGAGTAGCACTAAATCACCTAAAGATTACCCGAGAGATCATCATATTAATCAAATCCATGCACAATCAAATTCACAAAAGTTAAACCCACTAAAGTGGAAGGCTGGTTGTTCGTAAGAGAGAGGGAGACAGGAGGGAAACAGAAAGACAACACCAGAAACATCAGAAATACCTTTTCACAACACTTCTTTGGCTATATTGGTTTAATATATTACTTTCCCTTAAATAACTTCTCCAGTTCAGTCCTTACAAATATATAAAGCACCCCTTCTTTGAATTTATGCCACTTACATATTTATTGAACAGCTTTCTCGTAGTGCAGCAAATTATTATAAGGATGTAGCTGCTTGATATATTCATGAAATTAAAACCAAAGTGCACAGAACTTTAAAAAATGTCTCTCATTTGTTTTTTAAAACATTGTTTTAAATAATCTAAGAGAGTAAAGTACTATTCCTCATGCTGATAGAATAAGGCACTGTGAAGTTGTGAACAGAATATAAAACTTTAGATACCCAAATTTCAACTCTCATTCAGCTGTGATATTCATTTACAGTGTTAACATATGAATGTTTTTATTCAGGAGTAATTCCTTTTGAATATAATGGGAACACAAAGGAATTTACACCCCAATAAAAGTGAGCACCTGCTGGAGTGAGAAGGTTCCTTCACAGTGCCACCCGAGGATGGATGGATGGATGGATAGATGATGATAGATAGATAGATAGATAGATAGATAGATAGATAGATAGATAGATTAAAATCGTACGTAAAACATCCCAATTTTGTTGTTTTTCCCCAAACAGTTTTAAGTCCCAGCTTCATTGAAGATGTGAATTAAATTAATTGAATATTGTGTAAACGTTACAAGCTAAATACATCCCTGACATCTCGCCAAGTGACTCTCTGCCAACATCTGCAGTGAATTTATTGTGGATACATCCGCATGAAAGAGCCTTTCTACCTTGTGTGCCGACAATCTCCATGTGAAGGTGTGCCAGACCACTTGCTATGGAGAAGGTCAATTTAATCATCCCATCCGCCGTGACAGTATTGCTGTTTAGGTAATCAAACAAAGAGCCTTGCTCATAATATTCAGACACAAGCCACAGCTGAGTCCAAGTACCATTATCTGTAGAAAGAGACATAAACACATTTAAAACCAGGCAGAACAGCACAGCAAGGCACAACAATTTGATCAATGCAACATTCACTAGATTTGCAAAAACTGGAAGCATCAATTATGTCAGAATGAAATTTTACATACTAAAGTGGCAATGTTCACCTGAATTATTGAATTGTTGGGGAAATCAATACATTAAAGCAGAGATATCAAAACAATGCATTGCAAAATGTTAGTGTGTTGGCTGCAGTGTGTGGGCATGTTGCATACAGGTAACAAGAAATGACAAACATCATAGAAATGTGTTACTATCTTACAAATCATATTTTTTTCTAAAATACAAATGAAAGGTTTTTGTGAAATATGTTATGTCCCCACACATTGTGTATGTGTCTGTATCTCTTATAAGAGGTTGGTTTCATCTCCAGTTTGCTAGTAAAACTCAATTACTGTGTAGCAAAATTATCGATATCTAGAAAGAATGTCACCAACATGAAATGTTTGGAAAACTCTGTATGAAAGAATGAGAAATTTTAAGTCAACAGGACTTGATCTCATCCCCCAATTAATCCCCATATGTGGACACACATACCATTCACAGTTAGACACAGACACACTCAAAGAGTTACATGTCCCAAAAACTGGAGGGACCAAGGTGGTGGATATTTAAGACACAACCTTTCTGGTAGCAACACCTAGTTTTGTGGAATCCCCAAAATAAGGATAGAAGGAGGAAGAGTGGAAATTGTTTCCTTCCTTAATTTGTTTGAGATGGGCAATGCTGTTCTACTGTACTTTTAACTTTTCATCATTCTTCAACTGTAATGCTGCTTTCAGTCATCAGTGTATTATGATTACAGTTGTTCCCGAGACCATCGGCTTTAGGTGAAATGTTAAATGTTTTACTGTGTATTTCACAGGGCATGTAGACAAAAAGTGCAATGAATTATTGAAATACAATATCAAAAACAGTGATAAGACCATTACCATAAGGAGTAGGACTTCGCATGAGAAAGCATATTTAAAAAGTCATATCAAAAGATGTTCCAAAAGCCCAAATACAAAGAGTAGACATTACCCAGCTCCTAGAGAATAATGAGCAAAGCGGCAAATAGGTCTCCCTTGATTTTGAATTCAATAATCAGTGCATAACTAAAGAATAGGTTTTCTCTCTGGTGACCATCCAATTTCCACAATGAACAGTCTCAAAAGGTAATCATGACTATCAACCACGTTCATACAAGAGTACTGTAAGACCTTCATATTAATGGAAGATACATTTCTTCCTAGGCCATGGCTATCTGAAACTGGATATAAACAAACACCATTAAGTTAGCTGACCTCAGGCCCCAGCATACCAAAGAGTTGTCTTGAAGAGACAGTCTGTCTAGAAATTTGCTGGACCCTCCAACACTGCTTTGTGGTGATTTGCAAGGGAAGCCTAATGAATTTCTAAAGAAACAATTTTCCCCCTGGAAAATCACTGTTTTTCCCCCTGGAAAATCACTGTTTTTGATATTGTATTTCAATAATTCATGGGTTCCACAGTTATGGGGTTTTTACTGTAATGACAATACCAGGCAGAGCACAAGATAATTTTGCCATTTGAGACAAAGGACAAGATGGTACCTCTTCTCCATTCCCTGTGACAACTACCACATGATAATTGAATAATGTTTTGCACACTTGAGGGAGCAGACATTATTAAGTGACGAACACAGCTCCATCTCCAGACAGAGAAGAATGACCAGAGAGTTCAAGAGAAGCAGGCCAGAGGTTATCCTTTAGACAGCTGCCTGATTCTGTGTAATGTTAGGGTCAACTATGAGGAGTTTGCTGAAGTACCACGGAATGCAACTTATCTTTCTTCACTAACTCCAGATAACTATAAATCAGCCTTTCCTAATCTGTTGTACAAGTAGAATTACGTATCTCAATTTTTTCCATAAATCCCTCTCTCCCATGAGCACCCATGAAAAAAAATCCACCAGGCAAATCCAGCATCAGACAAACATTGTGAAACTGTTTGGAAGTACTCTACCCTTGTTATCAGCAGCAATAAACCCCAAGATATTCTCGTGCCTCAGCATGATTGTCTGATAGATTTCTGCTTCACGAAACCAAGACCTCTCATCTCTTGAGGAGAAGATCTTCACAGCTACGTCTTCGCCACACCATTTTCCACGCCATACTTCACCAAATCGACCTTTTCCTACCAGTTCTTGGAGGACAATAGTCCTGGCAATTGTTCTTTGTACAAGCAGAGGTAAACCTGTCAACAGAAATACAAATGTCTGTATAATATAGTCTTCACTATTTTAAATTTCATTAAAACCTTAAAAAATCAGTGTCTCACAATAGTTCCTGTACAGAAACTACCTCTGGTCTGTAAGATTCACAATGTGTTAAAATTAATAGGAAAATCCTCATTGCATAAAACAGGATTCCTCTTCAGTTGTATGCCTTCTATTGGCATGGAGATATTCTGAGGCTTGCAGAAATATAACAGGGATATTGTGGGCCTGGTGGGGTAAAATTATTCCCACAAGCAGCCTACTGTGAATTGAGGGCCCTTCCACACAGCCATATAACCCAGAATATCAAGGGAGAAAATCCTACAATATCTGCTTTGGACTGGGTTATTTGAGTCCACACTGCCATATATCCCAGTTCTAAGCAGTTAATGTGGGATTTTATTCAGCTGTGAGGAAGGGACCTTAGAACAGTGGTTCTCAACTTGTGGGTCCCCGGGTGTTTTGGCCTACAACTCCCAGAAATCCCAGCCAGTTTACCAGCTGTTAGGATTTCTGGGAGCTGAAGACCAAAAATATCTAGGGACCCCAGGTTGAGAACCACTGCCTTAGAATAACAGCCTTATTATCAGCTTTGGGAATGAAAAACATCTAAGCTCATTAAGTGGTCTTACAAGCAAGATGTGGGGTAGTCTGTAATTCAAGTGCATTATTTTAAAAGTCGTGTGTATATTTTCTGTATATACTGATACATTTATTCAATGCATATTATGAATGTTAATGGTGGAAAATACCCAGCCATCTTCATCACAGAAATAAAATCTGTATTATGGGATCACATCTCACATCAATAGCAAATTTTATCTCACTCTCTAGAGACGGACAGAGAATAAGTTTGTTGTGATCATTTTAGTCTTTGATTATTTAAAATTAGGGACTGATAAAATTATAGCATCCAGAATGATGGCTATAGTTGTGAAGGCTCATAAATAAATGGTGGGGGTCTTTTTCCTGTTTTTTGGGAGGGAAGCTTTTTTTTTCCAAGCCTTCAAATCCCTGTTGGTGCCTGATAAAGGCAGTAACTATGTAAAGTGCTGAAGGTGCTAATCAAGATTCACAAATAGTGCCATTAAAATTAATTATATTTTAAGAAAAAAAACAACTGACCAATAGGTCCTATGGGAGGCCAGAACTTCAAGATAATCAGCCTAAAATAAATAAAATTTCAAGTCCTGTCCTCAAGACACATAAGGCATAGTGTGAAGCAAGAACATTACTCTCAATCTACACTTATTTCAAAACCATTTTAAATTACTGGCTCAGAAAACAGCCATGAACTGTCAGCATGACCTTGATCTTTGAAACAAAAACATTTGCATTTCACAAATATACATAAAATAGTCTAGAAATCCTGCAAAGACTTCAGCTGCTGGAGTTGAATAATCATGAGCCTCTTCCATATTTGGCTTATAGCCAGATATCACTGGAAAGACAATGCTTTTTCCTAGTAAATGTGACCTCAGTGGAGATATACACAGAATATGCTAAAGACAGATATTTGTAACTAAGGGCATTTGGGGTGTTTTTGTCATGGCAAATAATTTTTCTCCCCCAAATCACAGTGGTTCTAAGAAACCAATATTATTTGTTTACCTTTAAGACATTTTTCTTGTTACTTATTTAAGAGGCAAGGAATATATATGTTCAGAGAGACCTTGGTATCCACTGGGGTTGAGTTCCAAGACTTCTCATGGATACCAAAATGTTCAAGTCCTATTATATACAATGGTGTCGTAAGCTGCATCCCTTATATAAAATAGCAAAGTCAAGGTTTGTTTTTAAGATTATTTGGATGCAGAATCAATAGATATGGGGGAGGGGGGTGCTTCTATGTTGTATTTATACACATTTCAATAACAGGATATGCCTACAATACTACATAAGTGTTCTGGATAATATACAGTATTGAATCTTCATGAAAAACTAGAAGCCTATTGGGTATGGCACTATAAACCCACACAACTGTACAATATACACTGATGTGTATATTAGATCATTAATAGATGAGATTCTACCTATAATCCAAGTGGTAGATAGAAAAAATATGCCACGTGTTGTATTTGAGATAGGATTTAAGGATAAGGTAACAGAAAGTTAGTGTGGCAAAGCGGTTTGAGTGTTGGACTTCAACTAAAGATCAGAGTTCGATTCCCTTCTCAGGTATTAAATGCAGTGGTGACTTTGGGCAAGTCATGCACTTTCAGGTCCCCCCAGAAAACCATGTCTTATAAGTCATAAGCGACTTGAAGGCACACAAAAACAAACAGAATTTTTCACATGATACCAGTGTGTTTGGCACTGTAGTCAACATACGCAACATCTCATTAACTGGAGCACAAATGAAGAGTCTATTTTTAGATCATCAGAAGAACTTATACAGCTGTACTTTTTATTGCCCAACTCAGGCAACGTGGGTAAGTAAGGAGCTGTCTGTGTGTGTATTAGTCATTGCTCTACTCAAGTGTCAGGTTGGTTAACCATAATGTGGTGTTGAGCCTTTGAGGAAGGCAAAGTCAAACCTCCTCTGAACAAATTCTGATGATAGGGCTGCCTTAGAGTAGCAGGAATCAGAAAGGGCATAAAATAATAACAAATTGTTATGTTATTTATTCTATTTTAAAATTGTATATATAATGCCTCCCAGCTCACAAAAAGCACTTTTGGACTTCCTAACATGAAAAATTGACAGAAGCATGAGAGTAAATTAGTGAACAAATCTAGTTCACCCTTCCTTCCTAGTTGATGAGGCAGTTCTATAACCGAAGGAATTTCTTTCAATGATACATTTTTATATGAGTCTGGAATCTCATAACAAAGGAAAAAATACATCTACATCAGCTCCCATCATTTAGCAATAGAAGAACAGGTTTTGGCATTCAACCTGCACACATGACTGCATAATTGCTGTACATTCCCTTCTCCTTGATACAGATTTTTAAAGGTCTGCCTTGATTTTGTAGGTTTTGATGTTTTGGGTTGTATTGATTTTTGGTTATTTATTGTCATCCATCTAGAATGTAAGATACATTTACACGTGGATATGGAAGTCGTGCAAGCTCTGATTCTTCCAAATACAGACATGTACCTGATCCAGAACCTGACGTTGTCATATCAAAAATGAGATCTTTGAGGGTTTTCCCTGGATTCACCAGATTGCATTCAGAGAGTGGTTCTTCAATATTGGGCCTTCTTTTCTTCCTCAGCTTGCAGTTGTGGCCTTGGCATGTGTAAAAAGCCAGCATTAAAGCCACACATAAGACACATACCGGTACAGTTATAATCACAGTTAGCTCTACAGGACCCAGCTTAGGTTTGATCGAAGTATCTGGACCTGAAAAAGATAAAACAAAGTCAACATGCAAACCACTATCTTCTCACAAAGATATATTTTTAGGAAAGTGGTTAAAAGCAGTGAAATTGGTCATCAGCTTGATGGAGACCTCTGTGTCACTCCAGCTTCAAATAATTCTGTAAAAAAAAATGGGGAAAGGGTGTCCACTTTGATCATTGGGTTCTTACATACAGAGAGCTCCAAGTACTGGACAGCTAATCCATCTGAGAAAAGAGACTGGAGAAGCAGCTGGAAAATACAGAAGGACTGAGATACAGTGTGGTGCAATGGTTTGAACACAGGAATTCAACTCTTGAGTCCAGGTTCAGATTCCCACTTGGCCATGGAAACTTCTTGAGTGATCTTGGGTGAGTCACTAACTTTCAGGCTCAGAAAATTCCACAAAAGGTTTGCATTAGGACTTCCATAAATCAGAAATGATCTGAAGGTACAACCATAAATAATGGGTAGGCGGCATCATGTAAAAGTCATGAAACATTTATAAAATTCCATGAATGAGACAGTTCAACTACATGGTAAAACCTCTATACAGAAACACCTGTTGTCTCTCAAGTTCCTGATCAAGGGCAAAAACCTTTTATATCTATTAAGATGTAATGAAATATTGAAAAATACCTTGAACAGGGAAGAGAGAGAGAGGAGGCTGGATGGTTCACAGAGGACCTCTAGTGAAAGAGGAGAATACTACAGAACTGAACATGTTGAGAAGGAACCTCTGGTGAGAGATAGTGCCATGTAAACATGAGATGAGTTTTTTTAAATGAGAAACAGACTTTCATAGGAAGATATATTTGGGGTCTGTGTGTGAGTGCAGGGATGACAGCCGAACTCAGAAGTAGTGAGATGATGAAACAGTTTCCTTTGTATTCCCTCTGTAATCTTTCGTTCACATAGGCATCACCACGTTATATCTCAAAATATGCAAAATGAAGAACAGCATGGCTTTATTAATGCAATGAGTCTTGGCTTTCAAAGTTACTTTTCCAGGATATTTTAGAGGGTGGTTTTTTCCCCTCTTATATGTTGCTTGGTAGAAGCTGAAGCACCAAACAAATAAATACATTTTTGTTTATCTCTTACATTTCTGTAAGACATTTTTTAAAACAAACACCATCAAGGATTACCATACACAGGTACCGGCCATAAACACCTATGGTCTAGTGACCCCTTTTGTGGGTTCCTCGCCTGGAGTTATTGGTTTGAAAAGTCCCAGTAGCCTTTGCTACAGCCCCCCGCCACACACACATACTGGAATTACCCCTAGTTTCAAGAGTAGAAGTGGCTAAGGAAAGGCCATAGGCTTGGTAATTCCATATAGAGTTTGTCATATTTCAGCAGCACCATGGGAAGTAGCAACCTTACAGCATCAGTTGAAGCTTTGATATAGACTGAGCATCTCTTATTTCGAATTTTGAATCTGAAATACTAGTACTACAAAATCTGAAATTGTCCACATAGGTGGCTAAGATAGTGACATCTTCCTTTCTGATGTTTCACGAACTGTTCCAAAAATATTTGGCTTAAAATTGCCTTCAGTTTCTCCAAGCTCATTTGTTCTTCCTCATTAATCACCTTTGTCATCTTGACTACATTCTGACATGGCTTGGCAACACATAAGCAAATGACTAAATTTATTCTCCTTTTATGCATACACCTAATAAACATGTTTGGAGAGGAAGTGGGATTATATGCCACATTAACATACACAATGTTTTTCCAAAATGTTAAGATATGTGTTTTATTACCTATAAAAAAACACCACATACTGCACTGCAATGATATTAAATATAGGAGAGGCCAAAAGGTCACAAGTCAACTTCAACTGGAAGATACACGGTGATAAAGTGACACTTACTGCCCTAATTTTAGTCAATTGCTCTGTTGTGTGCAAGCAAGCACTGAGCTTCTGTCAATAAATCCTCCAGCAAATGGAATGTCACAGTTGATAAGATGAGCATTGAGACCTGTTGCTCACTGCTACATGAGAAAGAAATGTCCCAAGGACACTAGTATGGACCTTTTTCATACATTGCTCACAAAAAGAGGGTAGGTTCCACATGTTGTAAAGCGCTATTAGCTCTGTCGTATTCTCCTCAGCCATGTATTGAATTTTGATGTTGTTTTTTTTCTTTTAAAGAAGTCTACAAAGGGTGGAGTCACATTTCTATAGTATCCAAATTCATTGTGAATGAATCCTGGCAGGAGGAGGAAGGCAACATAAATGTCAGGGCATGGCCAGCTGCCTCTTTACTACCATAACTTATACATCATCATCATTATCATCTGTATCCTACTCTTATCTCACAACTAAGACACAAAGTTACTTATTTCCACATAGCACTGGTACACTATTGACATGAAAGCCCTAGACACTCATAGAACATCATGTAGAAGGCTTACGCCAATAAGTATATCAGAACCACATATCAATACAATAACATTCAACAGATAATACAAGACTGTAATATCGTATTCCAATTATTAAGAAGACATGCTAACATTCCTCTGCCACTCAAAAAAATCAAACAACATGCAAGAAGAAACCCAAATTATCTGTGCTCTCAAAAAAGAACACTTCTCAGGACACTTTGGGGGCAGCAACAGTAATGATGGATCAAATGAGCAAACTGCCCCTATTTACAAGAGACAACACCTAATTTGTAGTATCTGATCCCCATCTGGAAAAAAAACCAAGACTTCAATTTTGCCTTTAGAGACAGATATGGGGTGCTTTCTTAAACAAGTATTTCTGTGTTCATACATATTAGTCTTTTGAAGTTCAGCATCTTATCAAATCTCTGAAGTTAAACATCTGATGCAGATGTATCTTGACTAATGAACACATTGATGACTTTAAGCCGGGAACAACAGGGGCATCCATGGGACAAAGAGGCAAATCCTTTAGGCAACAGGGGAAAGTGGTGATAAGCACCCCCACATCGCTCCCTTCTCCATCACATGGGGGAAACTGTCACTGCCTGGCTTCCCCCCGTGCTATCCCCAGCTTAGCAAATGAGAACATGGGTAGGCAGTGGCACTCATGCTGCCAGGGCTCCGTCCTATGACACTTCCAGGATGGAGTCCTACTGGAAGTAGACCTGCGTCATGTAATAGGCTCCAGTGGGATCCATCCTAGGTCCATCCTGGAAGCAGCAGTCCTAACAGAGCCCTAACCCCATTTGGCGAGGCTCTGATATGCATATAAACCAATGGTGTTTGCAGTATATTTTTTGTCTGTTCTTATCCTTGAAGCCAACCATTCCAATAATAAATGATGCTGAACATAAATGAGTTTCAGATAGACTGGAGCTTTGAAAATTGGGTCTGAAAATTAATTTGATGATGTTAACTATTAGAAATAGGAAACTTCATTCAAATGATGGGATGCCGGATCAAGCCTGCATTTTCAGTCCAGGTAGATGGGGCCCATGTTAATGTTGGATCTAGTAATGGTCACATATGATTTTGGTTCAGGTTTCTGACAGGATCACCATCTGTATAATCTGCTGTTACACCCAGGTCTTCAATCAGCCAGGACCAGGCTGGCGACTGTCAACCACAGACTTTTTCTTCAGCTGCCCCCAAATTGTTGAATGACTTGCTGGAAGAGATTCAACTGCTGGATACTCTCCAGCAACCACAAACTATATCTGGCATCTACCAATCACCATAGGTGCTTGTTTACCTCTATTACCACCATGGGAGAAGGAAGAGACATAGGTTATGGTTGCATCTCAAATTCTCCCCATCAAATTGTCTGGATAGTTTTTTAGTTGTATTATGCATTTTTCAAAAATTGTATGCAACACTGCATGCCATACTGGGAGCAAGGAGAAATATGCATTAAATAAATAAATAAATTCTTCAATCAGGGCTACAGAAAGTTCTCTTTCGACCATCCCTCCCTGCTATCTTTTCAAAGAAAGTACACAGATTATTCTGTTCAACAGAACATTTCTTTTCCAGTGCTAATACTTCTTTTCCAGGCCTTTCTATTTTAATAAAAATGACAGAAGAGAAAATCCTGCCCTAACAAATTCTAATGATCTAATTCTCTAAAGCATATTTACCTTCAACATTAAATGGGGAATCTAGGTTAGGTGAAATCACTAGGGAAAACTAGTGTGTTGGTAATGTGACAGCTAATCAACAAGTTAATTCAAACCTCTAGCCTAGAGTAAGTGTAAACAGATTCACGATAACACTGATACAGTATTATTATATTTAATGGAAGGTGCTATGGCAGATTTATTAATACACACTGTTTCAAAAGCAGATGCAGGACAAGCTGTTACAGAGTAAATGAATAAGAAGTGCAGCAGATGGAGAAGAGCCTTCAGGCAATGAGTAACCAGGCAGAGTGCTCGAGTAGCACTCTTTGGTATTATTAATTGGTTTATTTATTAGAAACATTTGCATACTACTTCTTATTTGCCCAAGTGGTTCATAGCATCGCCATAAAAAGATGATGCAATCTACTGAAAACATAACACAGCTTGTCACTAAAGCTAGGGAATATGCTTTTCAATACTGTGAGGCCCTTCTTACCTCTTCACCTGCAGAATGCAGACATTTACCATCAACTTTTATTCCTAATTTTGATTCTTGGGTGATTTTCTTTCTCTTGGGTTATATTCTCTCTTTTCATGTGAATGATTCCTAAGATCCTGGTGTCTTACTTTTTAAAAAAAATTCTACACATTCCCTTGGCTATTGTCTTGCTCTTGTTCTTATTAAGAATTTTTCTATCTCATTTTTCAGTCACTGAATTTTCTTTGTCTGATCATTATCTTACTTCTGTTGTGCTTGTTCCTGATCCAACCCTAGTATCCTATTGCTCATTCCATTCAAGAGCTATATTCTGTTGGTTCGCTGGATTCAGCTGATTCTTAAGTCAACTTTGTCCTTCTACTATTTTTACTACCTTCTCACATATGGTCCCTTCTGCCAAATCTTAGCCTTCGCTTACTCCTTTTATT